GGGGCCCGGCCCCTGGAGGGGGAGCTGCGGACTCAGCCCGCGGCGGACTGCCCCCAGTCGTGTTGGGACGGTTGCATGGACAGGTTTTTCTCGTCTTAGGTGGAAAATACAGGGACTTCAACCTCTTTTGTGTCCTCCAGAGCCTGGACACTGGGGTGTGTGTGTGTGTGTGTGTGTGTGTGTTCGTATAGAGTTGGACGAGGTAAAGTAAGGAAAAGGTCGCCTAAAGACTTGAGGCTTCAGCCCTGCGGGGACTGGGGAGGAAGGATCCAAGCGTCCTGCGCCAATGCCGGGGAGCCGCCCGCCCGGCCAGGTGGAGGTGACCCGTGCGCCGCCCACTCCGGCCCGGGACTCGGCTGGCCCGACGGCCGCTGCGGTCCACGTCCAAGGAGGGAAGGCGCTGCCCCCGAGTCAGGCCCCGGGTAACCAAAACAAAACGCACCCGCGATGAGTGAGAGCCCTCTGCGGAAGTTAGGCTGGGCCCTGCCACCTGCCCCACACCCGCTGGGGGAAGCGGATCTCCAAGAGCTGGTGGAATCGCTCCGGCTGGGCCAGAGGGTAGGGAGCGGCCACCGCGCACAGGCACAGGCCAGCTGCCCTCCTGCAGGCTCCGAGCCCTAGCGCTGTCCCTGGGCTCCCCCACGCCACACTGCCTACTTCACCCCCTCCCCACTACACACACACACACACACACACACACACACACACACACACCCGCTCAGTTGCCTAGTGTAGGCCCCTCTCCGGATCTGCCTCCCACCGACACCCCCGGTGGTGAGTCACCCTCGCAGACGGCGACGGCAGCTCAGCCTCAGCTCATAAATCAAAGCGCTTTCTGCACTCCTGGCCCCGCAGCCCAAAGCCCGGGTAATCCCCTCCCCTCTGCATAAAAGCAAACAGACCGCGGGCCACTGCAGGATTGTCCGATCCTCTGCTGGGCCAGGTCCCACCACGAATCCAAACTGCCTGTCCTGCTTCTCTGCCCAAACTCGGAGCAAATAGAAAAAAACCTTCCACTCATCTTTGCCCAAGTTGAGGAGCAGAGGAGCACAGTCTTGCCTGGAACTGGACTGAGGGCTCTGGAAAGGGTCTGATTAGTTAGAAGGCCACTGAGTGATCCACACTTTACCCCAGTCACCAGGTCAGACTGCTAAATAGGTTCCTCTGGCTCCGAAGCGACTGTACAGAAAGTGTTCTAAGGTTGAAAGTGTGTTTCCTACAAGGACAGCCACTTTTTGAATGAGAGCTGTCAGTCTGGTGAAGTAGAATTTTGGGAGCAGGTGAGAAAATGGTCTCTTGTTAATGAACTGGCAGATACAGTGAATACTTGACATCTCCCGCTCCCTTGGCAGAGTTCCTCTCACCTCCCAAATAACTCTAACCTGAGTTGGACAGTAGGGGGGTCATCCTCCTGAACGGGAAAAACTGGTGTAAATAGCAGCATATTTAACTGTAAAGAAAATGCACATTACTGCTGTAAAAAAGAAAATATTCTCCTGTAAATCCTATTTGCTGAATTTATATTTTCCAGATCATTGGCCTTTCCCTGAATTTATTGTTATTTAAAATGATTAGGATCTGAGAGTTCATCTTCTCAGATTCTCTGGCTGCAGAGTCTGCTGAAAGGCCTCTGAGCTTCACTAAGGCTAGCAGACATCCTGCTGTGCTTCCCTTAAATACGGCCTTTAATGGATTTAGGAGCTGCCTTTCAAACAAATGGCACTGCGTGGAATGGCATCTCCTTGACCTTCTGAATGTCTTGGTTTCCCCCTGTACAGTGAGTCAGATGGCAACCCTAGCACTGAAGATGAATCCAGCAAGGGACACGAGGATTTGTCTCCTCACCCACTCTCCGGTTCATCCGATGGCGTCACCAACCACAGCCTTTCCAGTCACATGGAGCCAGTGTATATGCAGCAAATTGGAAATACTAAGATACCATTAAGCTCTTCCGGAGTTTTGTTGAATGGAAGCTTGGTATCTGCAAGTACTTCACCTGTCTTCCTTAATGGTAATTCTTTTATTCAGGGACCCAATGGAGTTATCCTTAATGGATTAAATGTGGGAAATACGCAGACAGTGTCACTGAATCCACCAAAAATGTCTTCCAACATTGTGAGCAATGGTATAGCCATGACTGACGTACTGGGGTCTACCTCCCAGAATGTGAAGGAATTCAAAGTCCTCCAGAGTTCTGCCGCTAACTCAGCAGCCACCACCTCCTACAGCCCCAGTGTGTCATTCCCAGGGCTGATCCCCAGCACTGAGGTGAAAAGAGAAGGCATTCAAACAGTGGCTTCCCAGGACGGAGGCTCTGTAGTGACTTTTACTACACCGGTGCAAATTAACCAATATGGCATTGTCCAGATCCCTAATTCCGGAGCAAATGGCCAGTTCCTTAATGGGAGCATTGGATTCTCTCCGCTGCAGCTGCCTCCTGTCTCGGTGGCAGCATCACAAGGTAAAAGCTTCATTTGGTGCCATAATACACCAGTGGGTGTGTTGGTCAGCTGCTATAAAGGATGCGTTGAATGAGCGATAGATTGATGTTGCTGTTCAGGTACCTCATTGGCTGCCACAACTGCACAATGGCCTCATGAGAATACCCTCCTCCCCGACACCCGTGTACTACTCAGCTTGCTTCATTCCCTCACATCTCGGGGATGGGCTTTTATCTTCGCAACACTGAATGGAAAACTAGCGTTCCTAGCGAGTCTTGCCAGAGCTATAATTATACAAATACAATAAGCCAATCAGTGCTTACAAGATAGCCCACTACTTGACACAAAATTAAACATTAATAAAATTGCTAAAACATAAAGTGAATCAAGCAGTTGGTAAAGATGAGTACACTTTACCTAAGCACTATTTATTTGATAAAAGTATGTTCTAAAAGAACAAGCTAAAACGACCCAATGAATTTTATTTGAAACCTGTTCATCTTAGAATTAAAACAAATACCTAAAAGAAAACCAGAGTAATATGTAATACAGTGTCTCTTGCTCTGGATGTATATTTACCCCCAAAATGTATGCGTTTATTTAGAAGAAGGCAACTTATGGTATATGTTTGTGGATTTACTAATAGAAATCTGCTAAGCACTGATTTGAAATTTGGAAAACCTGATGACTGAGGTTCTTTGCTGCCTTTAATAAGCAAGTATGGCTCACTTGTCATTTCCTTTATATAGAAATAGGAATGGTTAAAATTTGGTGGTGACATAGTCCTGTAAATTCAGCGGTGGGAGATAACAGCCCCGTATTTGACTTCCTATAAACAAATATGAAAGTCCAGATTTTTATGAAATCAAACTTAAGGAATTTTTGGCCTTAAAGGTCAGGTTTCTTTCTAAAAGGATAATTTACCAGAAATAAAACAAAAATGAAGCTACTTACGCCCAACTCTTGTTTCCAGGACTGTGGTATACTTCAGCTTATTGGAGGCATGAATGGGAAAATGGTTGTAAATTTCATTCTGTAAGTTTGTCTCTCTGTAGGCAGAGTGGCAATGTAACACAACAGTTCTGCAGTGTGCGATTCCCTTGTTCATTGCTCCAGGTTATAGAAAGAACTAAGCCTAGTTACTCATCAACAAAGAGCAAAAATTCGAAAGCTACAACACTCAGTTTTACAATACCTTAGTGTGTATCTAGCCTCTTTTCCCTCTTTAGGAAAATTTCTAAATAAGGGTAATGTTTTATAGACAACAAATTTGAACAGAAAGTATGAGTATATGAATTGAGGATGATAAAAACAAACATTTTTTATTTGTCATCTACCAAGGTGAAAAATTATTATGAACTAATAGCTAGTTTTCTAAATGAGACATTTAAGAGAAATAAGAATGGCATTTTCATTTAAAAAGAGCTAATAGCAAATGACAAAGCTGTCAGTCCTTAGAATTGAAGGCATAAGTTTCACCAGATGGGTCCAATAAGCAACCTTCCTTTATAGTAATTGTGTATTATAGTTCTCAGTAAAGCATTTTGGGGATTAACCTTTCTCAAACAAGTACACCAAGCCTTCTTTAAAATGTCTAGACAAGGCAGACTTATCATTCTATAGCTATGATTTATATTTTGAAAAATAGAATATTTACATCTTTTATTTACTTGATGATCTCAGAAAATGAGATTTTCTTTCCCTGTCATCATTACAAAGTTTTCACCTATGATTTTCATTAGATTTTTAAACATTTTAAAATTACTGTTTAAGCCTGGCGTGGTGGCGCATGCCTGTAGTCCCAGCACTCTGGGAGGCTGAGGCAGGAGGATCACTGTGAGTTCGAGACCAGCCTGGGCTACACAGTGAGTTCCAGGTCAGTTTCACTACGTAGTGAGACCCTGTCTCCAAAAAAAACAAAAAAAATTTTTTTAAATTACTGTTTAATTGTAGTTATATTTAGTCATCTTTTAGATCATATATGCTTTTCCCCACTTATATATAATTTCTACACATACAGAAAAAAATTTTACTTGTATTCAGTAGCCATTGGAAAATGTTGCTGTAATGTGTTATATATGTCTCTATTAAAAATAATTATTTTGTTCACATGTACACTGGTAAACAATTTTATAAACAAATATACAACAAACTAAACCTCTATTTCAGATGTTTTTTGCTAAAATATAGCTGTCTACAAAAATTTTACAGCATAAAACAGCCTAGTAGAACGTATTTATCAATATAGGTAGTAATATAATCGTTATTATTCTAACAATTCAACAAAGAATATGCTGAAGGTGATTACCGCAATTAATCATTTGGGCTGTTATCCCAAACAGTAAGACAATCTAATTCAAGATCAAGGTAGGGCTGGGGCTTTAACTCAGTGGTTCTCCTGCCTGTCTTGCAAGCACAAGGTCCCGAGTTTGATCTCCGATACTACAGAAAAAAAAAAAGAAAAAAGATCAAGGTAAATAGCCCCTCAGAATTGTGTAACAGAACTCCTCAAATCTATTCCTTCTTTGGCCACATTTGGGAGCCCAGATCATCTAAATGCCATTATTTCACTGTGCCTGTGTAAAAACTCAGAAGGAAAAGTGATTCTGTTTATTGGAGGGAGGGTGTAACTCCTCTGCATTGTCTGAGTTATCTGATTTGAACATCTCAGCTTTCCACTTAGATTTCTTTTTCTACTGCTAGTCTCGACAGACCATTATAGTGAGAGCCTCAAAAGATGCAAACCTTTTAGAGAAGCATTAGCTGTGGTCCCTTATGTTAATCTGTATTTTTAAAAGCACATTTCAGTGTTGTTAATTCTTCCTATCACTACAATCCTGAAAATTCAAAACTGGCTCAACAAAAAAAGAAAAATCCCTTTGAATGTTTTGTTGACCTGACATTACTTTATGACTACTTTGGTGAAAGTTTGCAACTTGTCTGTACAAGTTTATGTGGTTAACTTTTAAGCCCCAGGGAAACTAATTTTCTGTGGCATTTTGTACCTTTCCATTCATATTTTCTGTCAGTTACTGAGCAGTCCTGAACAAAAAGCTTTCTACTTTGCATTTATATTTTATATTACCTAGAAACTAATTAAGAGATATCAAGTCAATAAGCCAAATACTTAACAGAAATCAGAACTCAGATAAGCCTCTTTTTCTTTCTCTCTCTCTTTTTTCTTTTCTACTTGGTTTCTAAACCAGTAGTTCTCACTTTCATTTTGTCATCAGAATTTCTTGGGAAGTTAAAAATACAGCTGTTCCAAACAGGGTGTGGTGGCAGGCACCTTAATCCCAGTGCTCAGGAGGCTGAGGCAGGAGGGATCACTGAAAGTTAGAGGCCAGCCTGAACTACATAGCAAGACCCTATCTCAAAAAAATATATTTTTAAAAATACAACTCTTCTAGGCTAAAGATATAGCTCAATAGTAGACCACTTTCGTAGAATGTACAAGTCCCTGAGTTCAATCCCCAGCACTGCAAAAACTATTATTAGACTAGTACAGCATGGTTGTGTACAGGATTATAATCCCAGCTATTCAGAAGGCTGAGGCAGGTGGATCAGAAGTTCAAGACTAGCCTGGGCAACTTAATGAGACCTTTTCTCAAAATAAAAAGGGGCCAGAGATACAGGTTCACTCAAAGGCCATGGGTTCAATCCGCAGTACAAAAAAAAAAAAAAAAAGATTTAAATTATTAAATGGAAGTGTCACTTCTCCGTACATGCTGAACCTTAGGGGGAAAAAATCGTGTATAAAGAAGTAACTTCTTTCCTTTTTATCACCTCCATCAATGCTAATTGGTACTTTACTTTTTTCTAGGTAATATTTCAGTAAATTCAAGCACTTCAGATGGGAGTACATTTACAAGTGAGTCTGCCTCAGTCCAGCAAGGAAAGGTTTTCTTGAGCTCTCTTGCTCCAGGTGCAGTGGTATATACTGTTCCTAATTCAGGCCAGACTGTAGGATCTGTGAAACAGGAAGGCTTGGAAAGGAGCCTGGTATTTTCTCAGTTGATGCCTGTCAATCAGAATTCACAAGTAAATGCAAACTTGTCTTCTGAAAATATCCCAGCGAGTGGCCTTCATCCACTGGCCCCCTCATTAGTTAATGTATCCCCAACTCACAGTTTTTCCCTGACTCCCCCTACTCTACTAAACCCTTCTGAGCTAAACCATGACCTTGCTGATAGCCAGCCAATATCTGCACCTGTGGCAAGCAAATCCACCGTGACCTCTGTCAGCAACACTAACTATGCAACGCTTCAGAACTGCTCCCTTCTTACTGGTCAAGACATATTGTCAGTCCCCTTGCCTCAGGCTGCCCTTGGGGAAATAGTGCCTACAGCTGAAAACCAGGTAGGTCCTGCCACTCCGGCAGTTCACCAGGATTTTGTCAGAGAACACCGATTGGTTCTGCAATCTGTAGCTGATTTAAAGGAGAACTTCTTACAGAATTCTGAGAGCAAAGCATCGAGCAGCCTAATGATGCTAGACTCCAAATCAAAGTATGTCCTAGATGGCATGGTTGAGACAGTCTGTGAAGACCTGGAAACAGACAAAAAAGAACTTGCCAAGCTCCAAACTGTCCAGTTGGATGAAGATATGCAAGATTTATAAACTTTATTTCCTACACTCCCCCTATATATATAAAAATTTGGCATCAGCAACAATTCTTTTCACGTGGCCCCAAAGACATAATGCATTTTTTCCACTTAGAGGAAAAACACTAGTTTTAAGTCAGTACATTCAAGAGACTTTGAATCGATCTGCATGAAGATCACAGTTAAATATACACTAGTAGAACTGCACTGTTGCAGGCTTATTGTTCACGTGTGTTTTCTTTTAAATGGAAACAAAGGAGCAAGATGAAATGCGTCAAGTCAAAGAATATCATTACTTGGCAATATAATTCTAAGGTCAAAATGGAACTTATAAAATTTTTAATTAAAAATGACACATCTAACAAAAGTAAATACAGCTGTGGATGGTTAGAAACAATGCAATTGTTTTTTGTTTACTTTTATTACATGGGCATTGATAAGACTAAGAAACAGAAATGGTACTCCAAACTATTGTAAGGATGTATTTTTGGAACTTACGTAGCTTAATATATTTAAGTGTGTATATGCATACAGACACACTTATCTTTCTCAGCATTTTTGAGAAAGACTTGGCTTAAGTCTGTACACATTTCCAGATGTGGTTGCTAACAGTTCATTGTAGCTGAGAAAATTTGAAACTCTGCTAAAAACTGAAACAGACTTCAGTGTGAATGTAAATATATCAGTACTATAAGCAAGATTTGAGGAATTTCAGTGAATTTTATTTATACCGTGTATTTTTCTCTTATACTTCAGGCTCTATGAACGAAAAAGAAAAATGTTTTCTTACTGTTTAATTTATTTTTATTGTTTGAACAGAAAGTGAACATTATTTCTAATAAAGTTTTACTTTTTTTGTAGGATTTTAAAAGCAGTGACTGTTATCAGGAGTCTATTACAGTCAATTATTAATAACACTGAAACAGGAATTCTAACTCCCAGTATTGGAATTTTGGTACTTCTTTTCACATTTTTGTTCTTTATTTAGCAACTTTAATTCTTTTAAATATGTTTTATACGGAATTCTACGTGCCTTTTTAACTTGTGGCCTTTTTATTAATAGTAAGATATAGAAGTATCAACATAAGCACTGATCGTTCTTTTCTACTATATAACAGGGTTAATTTCACCACAGAATCACATTAAGTCTGGAGAATTTAAGTATCACTAAATATTATGTATAATGTTAGTCATGCAAATGGATAAGCAGCCAATTATTACTGATGTTTTTCATTATAACGAAAATAACAGCAATTAGATTACAGAAAACCATATAAAATCAATTCTGCAGGCGATGAAAACAGCCATTTAAAGTTAAGAACAAATGTTGTCTGTTCTGTTGAGCAAAATTCTGCCCTGTTGGAACTTCATTCTCAGTGTTTTGAATTGCTTGATACACTATGACACATGACTGTTGTTTGCACTCTATGATCACGTCTTCTTTAAAAGCAAATCATTTGGGTTTCTGTAAGAAGCTTGTTGGATAATGTTGTGAATTGTGTTTATAGTTTTTATCTGGACTCTGAAATGCAAATCCATTTATGTAGTGAGTGAAGTTACTCTCTGGTGTCTGAAAAACCAGAAAAGTGAGAAAATGGTATGTTCAGAGATGACTTAAAATTGTGAAACATAAAAATGTTACATCTTACTTTAAGATGAGAAAAAGGGTCCATTCTAGATCTCTAGATGTCCTTCAGCTAAGCATGTTGAAGAGGGGCTATAGAGTACTTAACTTTTGCTGTTATTGCAGATAGAACTTGAAGGCACAAATGAAGAGCCCTATGAAGAATCCCTATCCCGTCATCTTGAGAAAGAACTTACATCCAGTTTTTATGGAATTGGTGAATGTTCCTAAACTGCTGAAACTACATGGGTTTTTTGTTGTTGTTGTTGTTGTTGCTTTGTTTTTTGGTTTGGTTTGTTTTTACAGAGTCACGTGTTTTGGAGTTCTCTTCCATTCTACAATAGTTATACAGTAGCTTTTTTTTCTTTGGTTGTATGCTGATCATGTTACCAAGGTTAATTACATGATTTTGTAGTTTACATAAAAATGATGTTTTCCACTTAATTGCTGCAGATATCAGGAGTTTGTTAATTATTTTAAAATACCCATCCAATAGGGAGATGGGGAGGTTTGAAGAATTATATACGTTACATATATAACTGGGAAAGTTTTATATGTCTTCCAAAAATATAATAAGCCTCTCTTTTATTTAGAGTTCTTCCTCAATTGTCCCTTACAAAAAACAGAACAGCACAAAAACCTCAGACTTACGTAGGAATCCCATTTATGTCCCCTCCATAGTGTAATTATAACCTCACAGTTACTCCAGGTAGCTACATAATATACCAGGTAAGAATCAATCTGCACATTAGAAAGAACTTGCCGTTCTTTTCTTTCAGTAAAATAAAGGCCAGTTGGTATGTAGCCCAAGTATATGTGAATAGAATAATATAAACCCCATGATCTCCTTGCACAGAATTGCAAATATAATTTTGCAATGCCAGGGGCCAGACCCAGAACCCTTGGAGTTCATGTGGCAGAATATCCTTCTTAACATAAACCAATGCTTGAAAATGCTGCAGATGACCCTCTAATAATGCCTGAAGAGCAATCAGAATGGGGGTAAAGAATTCCCTTCAAAGCCCAACTCCTGCTACTGGCTGTGGGACTTTCTGGTGTGAGCCTATCTATGCACTCTGTCAGTCAGAGTTTGGCATTTAGCTCTTGGTTACATCCAGCAAAGGACAGACTCTTGTCTGAAGAGAAGGTGCCTTTGTTTCTCGAGCAAACAAGAGCACCTGTGTTGTACTGCATTATATCTTGTGTATATTTATACGAAAGACCCTTTGAATTATACACACGTTTCAGTGCCTTTCAGGTGTTGTGAAAGGCAGGTAGGTGTTATAGCCATAGATTTTAAAAATCTAGTTTAATTGCACACTGACCTTAAATCTCCCTGTGTGTGCCCTTGTATCGTGCATGTTAAAAAGTCGGATTATTGGGCATGGGGAGCAGCCTTCCCTGCTACATGCTAGACAAGTGTGCATTAGTACTTAGCCACAAGTTCGTCATTCTTTAAAATGCCTTAGCAGATCATCTCATAAAAACTAATTCAGCAAAACTGTGGGCGAAAGAATTATATTTTACAAAAGATGTCTCAAAGTTCCTAAAACATAAGTAATAGAGCCTAGTAGTTATTTTGAATCTCATTAGTATATTTCAAGTTAAATATTACCACCGTAAATTTTATTAATCAAAATTGCATAGCATGTGACTCTTGGCTTCCAGGGTTCTCAAAAATATCTATTCTTTCATTGCATGTACTGTATGTTTAGAGGCAACCACTCATACACTCGCGGTTTTACTGTGCCTTACACAAAGAGAAGCTGTCCAGAATGTATATCATGGGGAGGGGAGCAGAGTCTTTACTGCACTGTTAGGTGATGGCACACAGCATGTCCCAAAATACTTCTGTGCTTAATTACCCAACCAAAGAGATCTAAAGTATGTATGTTGTACTGTAATGGGGGTTTATGCCTGGACAATTAAGTGTTTTATTTGTTTTCTGAAATGATGTGAACTTATTTTTCTAAACACTATGCTAAAATAAACTTTATATTTATACATACCCCGTGTTGTGAAAATGTCATTTGAGGAATACTGTTCTGAAAAATGTGAGGACCTCATCTTAGTAGGCAAAGCAGGAAATAATGATTTTATTTATATCTGGAGAAGTAAGGAAAAAACATGCATTCCAAAGGCTGGCGAATATGAGGCCAATTTTGGAAAAGCTGTCTGTTTTTGTACAGAGTTGTGCAGCTCACTTAACTATTTGACATACTCAGAGCTAAATTATAGAATTTTATCCTTAGAGGGTAGAAAGGTACCTCTCTCGTTTGTGTGTCCCAAGAACAATGTGTGGGATGAGCATGGTGCTACTCATGCGCAGCTGCGATCCCAACTACTCGGGTGGCTGAAGCAGGAAAATCACAAGTTCAGGGCAACTTAGTGTGGGAACTTGTCCCACAATAAAAATTTTTAAAAAGAGCTGGGGATGTAGCTCAGTGGTAGAGCCCTTGTCTATTTTGTATGGTGCCCTATATTCAGTCCCCCAAACCACACCAAATAAACCTCCAACTTGGTGAACATCGTGTCTGGCACGGAGTATTTACTCTAGAAAGTCTGGTGGGATTAGATGGAAAGGTCCAAAGACTTTTCTGTTCTAGCTTAATTAAAACCTCAGCATCACCAAACCGGAGGACACTGTCATCAGCCAAAGTCTGGTTACAGCAGTTTGATTGGAAGTTGGGGCAGAATTGCATTACTGCTAAATGTAGAATACAAGATTGGGACCAGATGCAGTAAGGTCCTAATTTTAAAGATACATGCATCTGGTTTTCTATTACTCCTATGCTGAAACAGAGAAGGCTACTAAAGTAGGCTGAGCTTTCCAACAAGAAATACTTCGGTAGTCCTTAAATGGCATGGAGGGTGGTTTGCCTCCAAAAGGCTCCAGAGTTTTGTGCTTTCCAAGCCTTCCATCTACCCTGTCTCTTGCTGGTAACCAAGGCCAAGTCCTGTTGTTGAGAGTGACCTCTCCTGAATCTGTACCCTGAACTCCAGGCTGGTAGAGCCAAGCCCCTAGGGGATATTTTCAGAATGTTGTCAGTCCCCGTGATTCTACCTATGAAAAATTGTCTTCTGATCATTTTTTCTGCTGTGTGCTCCTCATCTCAGCACTGTTATGCACCCATTTGGCCAAGCAGCAAGTCTAAAGTTCATGTGAGTTTTTTCTCCTTTTCTCCTTCCTTGTTCCATCACATCACAGGTGCATCCAAGTGTGCTCTTTTATATTCTCTTGAATCAGTTTCTTCTCCATTCCTAGGGTTACTCCTGTCGCTTAAGCAGTTATCCTTCAACTGCATCACTGAGGCCACCTCCTACTTGGTCTTGCAGTATCTACTCATTTGGGCCACATTATAATCCCACCGAGACGGAACAGTCAGAGTTAGACTGATAACTGCCCTC